TTCACAGAATTGTGAGATATAAACTCGCAATTGCGAGTTATAAAGTCAGAATTGCGAGATATAAAGTTAGAATTCTGACTTTTTTTCTCAGAATTGCGTGATATATTCAGTGGCGGAAACGGGCTTCCATACGATAATTTTCATTTAATAAAAAAAAAACTAATTATTTTTATTATTTATTAGTAATATTATTACTAAATATCACACTAATACAATACAACATTACATTATATAGTAATTCATGTAATAAAATGTTTATTCAAATGAACATGACTTGAAATCTTACTAAGGTTTAAATTTAGCTTTGAAACTAAAACCAAACAGTATTTTGTGTTTGTGGCTCATTAGTGGAACATGTTCATAGTTAAGCAAAGTTCCTTACTTAGTATTTTTGTCTTGTTTTCCATTACAAATGTCTAAACATTCTTAAATCAAGATACATTTATTTGAGAAGCATAATGGCATATGATATTAAGTTTTGTTTGCTGAAAAATGTATGAAAACTGACTTTCTGCTTTAAAATTGGAAAAAAATATATAGCAATGATGCAAGAAAAAAAATCTCGTTTTCCCTTTGAATTAAGATTATTTTTCTTATCCCCATTGGCAGATGTTTTTTTCTCATCTCATCTAAGCAAAACGTTACTTAGTTTTGATACATTTTTCAGCAAACAAATCTTAATATCATATGTCATTATGCTTCTTAAATAAATGCATCTTGATTTAAGAATTTTAAGTGTTGTGAAGCTTCTGCAGCATTTGAGTGCATGTTTTGTCATTTTTCATCTAATGCAATGACATTCAGACATTTTTGACAGCTCAAACAGTACAGCATGGTACAGCAATGCCAAGCTCCTAGATCTGATTCCCAGGAAATGCATGAACTGATAAAATGCATGCTTTGAATGCAATGCAAGTTGCTTTGGATAAAAGCATTCTGCCAAATACATAAATAAGGTTTTTATAAGTGTCTTGGAGACGTTGGCACAGTTCTTCTGGATTTAGTTCTTCTCAGTTTGTTCTGTTTCTTCATGTAATCCCAGACAGACTGATGATGATGAGATCTGGGCCCTTATTCATGAAAAATCTTAGTGCTAAGAGTTGCTCCTAGTAACAAAATTCTAAGAAAATTCTTAGAAATGTGGGTGATTCCTCTTAAAATTAAAGAAAAGATCCTAGTAAAGAAAAAAGTAATTCAGAAAGCATCTTAACCCTTAAAAGAGGTCTTAAGAGGTCTTAAGAATACGGGCCCAGATCTCTGTGTGGAGCACTGGCTGCTGTCAGATTCCTTGTGCATACAAAAATCTCACTGGATTATTACAATTAATGGCAAAATGATGTTTGGGAATGTAAACTGATATTTCCTACTGACACACTACAGCAAAATAACCTTTTTTTTTTGGTGAAAATCCTAATAGACTTTTGCACAGTACTGTATATATAGCTAATATGACACAGTAGGCTTTTCAGGGTTAAGCGGTACATATAAGAGTAAGGTAGAGAGTACTGTCTGATTAAAGTTAATTCAAGTGCATTTGATTGTGGTGCGGGGTTGTGTTTTTTAGGCTGGAGTTTATTCAGCCCCAGTGATGTTGCAATACACCAGACCACCCGTGCATCTGTGAACTCGCTGCTTCACATGCGTCTATTATTATGCATGTTCACATCTGCACACAAACCCAGATTTACACCAATGCACAGCTCATTAAACTCCAGAAAGGGTGTAATGATATAATGCATGATGTTATCAAGTTTACAAATGAATCTAAGCATGAACATTGGCACCACTGCGTAAAGCATAAGGGCATGGGAAAAGAGTAAGTGTGTTGTATAAAGTGTGTGTGTGTGTGTGTGTGTGTGTGCAGTGCAGTCGGCGGTGGAGGAGACACAGAAGGGTGCGTTCTTTAACCAGGGTCAGGCGTGCACCGCTGCGTCACGCGTCTACGTGGAAGAGACGGTTTATGACGAGTTTGTGCGTCTCAGTGTGGAAAGAGCCAAGAATATAGCGATCGGAGACCCTCTGGAGCCACGAACCTCACACGGGCCGCAGGTGAGCGACTCGTTTTAATTTCTGAGTGCTTTCCCTTCTTGTGTGCAGATTGTTTATGTGTTTCTGCTGTTGGGTCAGATCGACCAGCATCAGTTTGATAAGATCCTGGAGCTGGTGGCCAGTGGGAAGAAGGAGGGGGCGACGCTGGAGTGCGGAGGCTGTGCGGTGGAGGACAGAGGTCTGTTCATCCATCCCACCATCTTCTCTGATGTCAAAGACCACATGCGCATCGCCAAAGAAGAGGTACGATGCTCCTCTGTGCTGGAGCATGTGCACTTTCAATAGTTAAACATATGGAAAAACAGCTACATGTAGGGCAGGTGTAATACAATTGTAAATTAAAACTTTAAATTTCATTTTTTATTTCCCTTAAAATGACATAAAAATGTTTTCCCTTATTTAAAAACCTACAATTGTCCTATTTAGATGAAAGAATCCCCCCATGGCTCATCCAGTGAACCATAAATATTTTTTTAATTAATGGGAGGTCATTTATTTTAGATTCTTTTACATAACCTTAACTTTGGGCTACACAGAGTTCTTCAGGTGACAGGAATCTGAATTGGTGTCCTGTAGTGCCACCTGCCGGATGAGTGTGCCATTATAGACATCTGATCTATTTCTGTCCTCAGATAGCCAGATAGGGAGTTGATTAATTGTTGATTAAATCCATTTTTAAAAATGTGTAATAATAATAATAAAAGATCAAATCAGTATGATTTTTTTTTACATATTTTTATATATATTTTATGAATATTTAAATAAAAACATTTTAACTTTGAAATTTCATTAATGTTTCTAACTATACAATATTTACTCATAGTTACAGCAATAATAACACTGTGATTGTTATATATATTTATGTATTTAAATATATAAATATAAATATTTAACATTAACATTTTTATCCAACCATGTGGTATAAATACAGTTTCAGCAACAATAACATTATAATAATAATATAAATCTACAGGGGTTTCACCCATTTCACTGTTGCTGATACAAAGACATCTGTTCATCTCAGCTGACTGACTGAAAGTATGCATCTGGCTGCAA